GTGATTAGATTATGCAGAACGAATCATAGTTACATATTTTTCATCTTAACAGCGGGATACATTTAAGTAAATAAAATCATGTAATAAATGGGCAATTAAATCAAGTGGCAAATTATTTTCAAATGGCATCTTTAAAAGCACATTCTCTGCTCAACCAGCCAAGATAATCAACTTTATTGTATTCAGCAAATAGTTTGATACTGAATAATGAGGGAACCGAAGGAAGACGAGATAATTGAATAGTAAATTTCAATTAAAATTATCTTAAACTCAGATTGATAAACCATAAAAAAAATGCTTTATCTATTAATTATACTTCGGTTCACTAGCATGAGTATATGTGTGCGTTTCGTTTTAGCGCAAAAGTACATAATGGGGAACCTACCCCCTCATTGTTTTAGAGTTGTAAGTCTGTACACTTGGGGGGGGGGGTGGACCATTAAGGTGAGAGAATTAATGATGTAGCTCACATTAAAAAAAAACACATTTAGCGTGTGTGTGTGTATGTGTTGCTACTTTCATGATTTATTTGTTTGTTGAAAAGCTATTCGAGACCCATCTGCTTTCGTGGAAAGAATTGTATACATTATTTTCTGAAATTGTATTATTTTTAATATCTATGAGAACAAGTTTCCAAACAGTAACTATTATCTAAAGATATCTCTTTACTTTAATGAAGTAGTTAGGATCATTGGGGTTGTAATAACGACTTTTAAGGCGATAAATGGAATTTATTCCCAACCAGACTAGCACATTCAGCACACAAAAACAAACAAAGTTATAGCCGCAAAGGAAGACAAATCGCAACTATTTATAATTAAAATAAGCACCGTGTAATATGTTAAGGTTTCCATAAGTCTTACTCGCACAGCACCGTTCATCAGGCCTATGCAGGAAATTTGGAATACACAGAAATTGGATGCAGTAAGCACGATTTGCGGGGGAGGTTTGGGAATAATAACGGCTCCAAATAACATGTACATGTACTAAGCTTGCTGAAATGGGGTTAAGGTGATAAGGTGCTGAACACTATATAATCAAGCAGTTGATTTAGTGTTAATGTTGCCAGCACAAGGAAATCTCGGGGTTGTCAGTACACAAAAACTGAGTAACACTTAGAACGATTGTTACAGCAGCATGTCGGGGTTGTGTTTGTTTTGTTATGAAGGGACTAGTATGTATTAGATTCTTAATGAATAATCCTCATCAAAGCTGTTGCATGTGAAAAATTATCTACATGAGGATAATTACATACTCATCTTTTAGTTTGATCAAGCAAAAGCTTAGGACTAACGATGAAAATAAATACATGCGTAGAAATGTATTAGTTTCATCAAGTACGTGCTTTCTTTGGTCGAAAAAAAAATTAAGAACTCCGCCAATTTGAAAATAAATTAAGAAGCAACTCAAAATACAACATGGAAATAACAGTGCCGTAAAAACGATTTTTTACTGTTTGTCTCTAGCGACGAAAAGTTCAGAAACCCATACTTTAGCGAGGTCAAAGGTTGTGTTTGTACGGTTATAAAATAAAAACACACACACACACACACATTGGAAATATTTTAACTATCCTAAGCGTTTTCCTATGAATTATTTATAGCAAGTAAATTTGGTGACGGTGTTAAATCCATCGTCAACCACTTCATTCATCTTGAAGGGCCAGTTTGTATTTCTTTGTGTGTGTGACAGTGTAAACTTAGTGAATTGAAATGTTCAAAGCTGACCAGAGTGCAAAGTTTCCACGATAGTTATGTTTCTATGGAAACAGTTGTGACTAGGAATCTGGAATGTTCATACTCTGCGCATGTTCCTATCGATTTCATTGCATTTTCCGATATCAAATACTCGTTTTTTAACATCCCAATAAAAAACCTATGTTTTAAAACCACCCATGAAAATTGAGTTTGGTAGTGTTTGTTTGCTTGAAGTTATGCACAAAGCTACACGATGGGCTATCTGTGCTCTGCCCACGACGGGTATCGAAACCCGGTTTCTAGCGTTGCAAGTCCGCAGACATACCGCTGTGCCACTGGGAGGCATTTGGTAATGAAAGTAGTGCCCAGTTCCACATTGCAAACACACTTTTAGATATATGTGTGTGGTGTGTGTGTGTGTGAGTATACTGAATTTTGTCTCTCTCTATGTATATATATATTTATTTATATAAACTTTTAAACAATACAGAAGACGATATTCACAGCAATAGCGCCAACAATTACACCCCTTGGTTTATAACATCTGTTTTGTCCTTATATAAACTTTTAAACGATACAGAAGACGATATTGATAGCAATAGCGCCAACAGTTACACCCCATGGTTTATAACATCTGTTTTATCCTTGTTGTTTCATAATTATTCTCAGTAATTTACATCTCAATTCTACTTATAACGGGTAAAGTTGATGAACGAGCAGTGCCACACGTACTGGCAGGTGGCTAACCATGTGTTTCTGAAGCTCCTTCTGCCGTGTACGTACAAGTTATGACTTAAAACTAGTCGTGTAAAAGTATTCTCTGCTTAATCTGGTGGCCTGGTGATCAGGGCACTCGATTCGCAAGTCACGGGGAGTTATAATGTTACGAACAATCCCACTATTCGTTGGTAAAAGAGTAGCCGAAGAGTCGGCGGTGGGCGGTATTGACTACCTGCTTTCTCTCTCTAGTCAATCACTTCAAAATTAGGGACGGCTAGCGCAGATAGTACTCGAGTAGCTTTGCGTGAAATTCAACAAATAAACTTAATCTGTTTCCGAAACTTCACGATTTGAAGAAGGTGTTATTGGTGGAAAACTTTGTATATAGTACCTTACTGGTACGAAGGGCAATGGTAAATTTTGTGTATAGTACCATACTGATACAAAAGGCAGT